GGATAGGCGAAACCTGTTTTGGATATTGGCTCTGATACCCTTTATATATAACTTGTTACGAAACCAAATACCTTATGTGGGAGCAAGATCGAAACATCCAAAAACAAAGGAATCAAATGTGTGGAACCGCGAACCGTTGCCTATAAAGAGACAAGAACATTGGTATGTGAATCAACTGTGAGAGATTGATTGATAAGTCGGGGTGAACGCACAGAATCCTCCGATATGTTCGAAAAGTTCTTAAATATCTAGAGAGAATAATCTTAATTTATTAATTAAAAACCATTCATTAAAATAAGCCAAATTGATAACCTATTTATAAGATCTAAAAAGATTTTTTTCACAAGGAAAATGAGTTCTACCTACAATATAATAAGGTAACTTATAAATAAGCAAATCCTAACCATAAAATAACTCTAAAAAAAAAAAAAAAACCATAATAAATCCTAAATAAAAACTTTCATAATTAAATTAAATAACTTGAACATCAAGTCGATTTTCCGATCACTCTTCTAAACTAGCGTAGACATTTGGCTGTGCACGTGCTGGCATTTAAGCTCGATTTCGACACTGTTACACTTCGAGTCTCTCTTTGCTCGAAACATGAAAGTTGTAGAAATTTTAGTTGGATTTATGTAGCAGTTTGAATCATCTTAAATGAAAATCTGATGAGAAAGTTATGACTCGAACGGTAACGCTGCCAGAAACATTCTGGAATTACGGAATGCATGGAATTCAACTTGTCCAACGAATTCTTCTCTTTGTTTTCTTCCAATTCCACATCATGGACTCTCGAAGCAAATCACTGGGTCAGAATGCTGTCATCCAGCACGTGAACAACTCCATTAAACTCTCGCGCTTTCGCTTTTTCCAATTCTTTATCTTTGAGATTGTCAGGATCGTATCATATAGTCTCTATTATCTAATTAGTGCTATGAAGATGCCTTATTATTTCCTGTATAAATTAAAATTACGTTGAAAATGTCTAATGTCACTGGATATTTTAGGTTATTAGGCTGAAAATCATAGTAGATGTGCCGAATGTCAGTTTACAATTTTCAAAGAAAATTGCATGTCAATTTGTTTGGTTTGAAAAATATATATTTCTTTAATAATTCATGGAATCTGTTTTGGTTTGTTGGGTTTATATTGCATGAATTGCTAGAAAATTCTTATGCAATTATAATATGGGTATTTTGTTTTAAGATGTATTAGATGATGCAAATGAATTTATTATTATGGATATATTTAGTTAATTTACGATTAACTATCTAAATAATTTTCGAATTACTTCGTGAATTTGTATGATGATATCTATGGCTTATATTCTTGAGCATGTTGTAGCTTATATATTTGACAATTTACATAGTCATAATTGCATAGAGACTTTGGTCTATCTTTAATCGAGAATGTTATTTAATTGAAACATTGTTTATATATTTTATGTAATTTGGTGACAAGTGTGATAAACAATATTGGTTCTTTATTATGAATAAAACAAAGTGTGACAAATCTAATAACACGAACTCAATAGCATTCCAATCTCGAACCATAAATAAGCATCAAGACAAGCATACGAAACTTGACCACATGTAAGCACACGATTATCCCATCTACTCATCCTCATACTATTCAATTTCTCCATGTCTTTTCCTACAACTCGTTTGACCAATCATTGCAATTCAATATAACGATGCTCCTTTACTGTCAGCTCATCCGCATAAAACGTCAGTAATTACTTGACAACTGTAATTACTCGACGACTTTTCAATATCGTTGTCAGTTCCAACTCCAACAAACATGTAGTTAGGGTTTTCGAGAAAGTTTATTACTTCAAGAGGGATTTTTCGACGTGGAGAATTTGGAAAACGAGGCAGGATTTGCCCACACACAGTAGATGTACAGACACCGTGTGAACGCGGCCTTCGACAACTCGTTTTTCTCTTCGGTGTCTTTTCCAACAACTCTTTTGACCAATCCTTTCAATCCAACATAACGAAGCTCCTTCGCCTCCAGCTCATCCGCAACACACGTCTATAGGTCATACACGTTTGTCACCTTCAAACCGTAATCACTCGACAACTTTTCAACATCGTTGTCAATTCTAACTCCAACAAACGTGTAATTAGGATTTTCGAGAAATTTTATTAATTCAAGAGAAATTTTGGAGAATTTGAAAAACAAGGCAGGATTTGCCCACACACAGTTGAAGTACGGACATCATGTGAATGCGGCCTTTGACAACTACTATACGCCACTCGGTGTCGATGCCCAAAATTAGGCGGTGGAGGCAGGGGCAGTTTATGATCTGTGTGTTGTTGACCCACAATTTTACTATGGTTGGATCGTCGGCAACTAGGGTTTCAATAATCTGTAGTTGTTGATATAATGACGTCGTATAGTTTGTGGGTATCAAAAAGGAATTTGAATTATTCTTGGATCTTTACGTTCTTTGTCGTAATTGATTTTCCATAGACACAAGTTTCTATGAACCAAAAAGGCTTAATAAGTATGCAATACTTTGTGGTGCCGAAGATAGCTTTACATAACAAAATTTTAGTTGAGGGTAGTTAGAGTTCTAGAAGGAACGGGGGTAGAAGATGAATGACAACTTTTAATTGGGTTAGGAAATTCATATTCTATGACATAATGGGGCCGAATTTTTTTTTTTTTTTTTTTTTTAAATTTTTCTAATTTTTTAACCCATTTTTACAATTAAATTATTATTAAAATATATATGTACGTATAAAAAATAATAAAAAACTATTGAGTGACTCTTATTCTGACTTGATATCTAATGTAACATGGGTGTTAAGGTAACCCTAACTATGTTAATTATTTTATGCTTTAATGTCCACGATATTTCAAAACTCACAAAAGAACACAAGCAAATTATTTATAATAATGATATTATATTATATTTTGAAGTTATTTATTACAGAAAATCTAAATAATTTTATGTAGAAAGTGGCATGATTAATCTTCCATAGAAAACAACAACAAAAAGTAATACAAAATAGGTGTCGTTTTTTGCATTGGGACAAGTTTTATAAATATCAATTAATATGTCTTGATTTTCAGAAAATAGATATTGATTGATCAAAATACCCTCGTTTATTAACTAATACAAATAACCGAAAAATATGTAATTAATGCAGCATTGGAATGGTTAATTGACAGATAATATGGAACAGAAGAAATTCTGAGACGAGACATATATTGTGGAACAAAGGAAGTAATAAGTTACTCTTCTATTGCACAATAACTGTCAGTTTTGAAAAATATTTTTGTTGCATATTAAAAAATATTTTTGTTACTCATCAATCACTACATATTCTTAAAATTTCTAATACCAAAAACTCAATAGCCTCCCAATCTCGAACGAGAAATAAGCATCAAGAGAAGCATACGAAACATGACAACGTGTAAACCCACGATTATCCCACCTACTCATCATAATTGTGTTCGGTTTCTCCATGTCTTTTCCAACAACTCGTTTTGTCAATCCTTTCAATCCATCACAACCAAGATGCACTACAAAAAAATGTATTTTATGTGACAATTTGTTGTGACGAAAGTTAAATTCGTCACATAAATAACAAGTTTATATGACGAAATCAGATGTCGTCTCATAAAGTAATGTTTTATGAGACAAAATTGTTTTCGTCACATAAAGTTGGTTTTATATGACAATATTATAATTTTGTCATGAAAAGAAATGACTAGCTCATTCCAACAATCAGTGCACCCTTTTAGTTGTCGATCAGTGCACCCTTTTAGTGACAACATTTAATTGTTTTAGGACAAAGTAATTTTGTCACATTCATTTTTTATTGTGACAAAATTAATTTTGTCACAACTAAATAATTATAATTAAATATAAATTATTATCATAAATCTTTTACAATTAATAACCGAAGGATCCTTATAATTGAATATCAATTAAAATTTTATTATTTTCCTCTCTCACCATTTTCCTTCCACTTCATCTCTCTTGTTTTGGCTCTTGGGTCAGGTGGTCAACAACCACCGTTTGTCGCCTTCGCCACCACCGCCGGCCTTCCGTTTGTCGCCTCCGCTACCACCGCCAGCCTTCCGCTTGTCGCCTTCGCCACCACCGCCAGCCTTCCGTTTGTCGCCTCTGCCACCACCGCCAGCCTTCCGCTTGTTGCCTCCGTCACCACCACCAGCCTTCCGCTACTCTCTCAATCGATTCAATTAAGGTAATTTTATTTTTCTCAATCTCTACAAATCTCTACCTCTGCTCATTTGTCATTGTTTTCTCTCCCAATGTGCGATGGAATGTTAAGATTTTGGGTAGAAATGCGTAAGTTGGATTTTTTGAGCATCTACCCCTCTTTCATTTTTCTTCTCTCTTAATCTGAAATCTAATGTTAAGGTTTTGGCTAAAAGTTCGTTAACTGGATTTTTTCTCAAACTTAAATTAAGGATATGTAATTTAATTTTCAAAATTTCTTCGATGTTTGAATTTAAATTAGGGTTTTCTGAATCAGAATTATAGAGTTTTCTAGTATGATGCTTCAATGGAAGTGCAATAATGAAGCCCTAAAGGAAGAGATGAAGAGTAAAACATTGAAAAATTGAAGTACGTAGATGGAATCCCCCTGCTCTTGTTTACTATTAATTGATTCTCTACATCGAAAATAATTTGGTGTTCCCCCTGCTGATTTTGCTTCGCCAGTGTCCGTTTGAATCGGCATTAACTTTAGTGACTGTCTCTAAGATGTTGTTGAATAATTAGTCGATTATTTGTTTAGGCATATAAAGTTTCATAGCAAGTCGAATGTTTTTTTCTTAGTTCATGTCGTATCTTAACATCCAGCAACTATTTTCTTTTGCACTATTCAGGAGCTTGTATTTTAGCTGTGGGGAAACAAATTCCCCCAGTTTTGCACTATACAGGGATAAAAAGCTTCATTATCCTTCCAGAAAAGTTATAGCAGTCCATTATATAGTCTTCAGAATTTGTTTTGTACATGATAACAAAGAGCAACAGTTGACCAATTAGAAATATACGGCAAGTCTTCAATGGATTTATGAATGTCAATTTAAGTGGATTCATGTGGTGTAGGACCCAAATTCATTTGAAGTAAGTAGATAATAGTTTTAATTAATGTCATCTCTGGTTCTTTTTTGCAGGGAAGAACAACACTATATGATTGCTCCTCTGCTACAAAATCAAGATCACTTATGGTGGTGTTGTCGGAGGCATGCACCTTGGTTCATCAGCCTTGGGCATTCTTCCGGTTCTTGAACAAGAAACTGATTAAAAACACTGTTTATTTCTTTCACTTCATTCGGCAATTTTCTGCTGCTTTGTTGCACACAGAGTTGTACTCAAGCAGATCATTCGAGATTTGGTCATATGAAGACTAATCTGACTCGTCCTTCTTTTGTTTACTCATATGAAGATTTGGTTAATGATGCAGGTGTAGAAAATAGACATTATGAGATTCATGTACCTCTAGGCTTTGATGTGGTACCGTATGCTGGAAAGATTTATCTCGGTTTCTAGCTGCTTACCTTTCTAGAGACATGTTAATTATCTTGCAGCCTTAGTTGTTTGTTTCCTTGATTTCACCTCATTGTAATGATGATCAACTTTGTTTCTAATGAAACGAACTGTAACTACTTGATATGGTGGTTTTGTTTTGGCTGGACGCTAATTGTAACCAGCGAACTGACTCTTGAAATTAAAAGTTTTTTTTTGTGGTAGCATTTTTAAGATTTAATTTATTATGCTTAAAGTTAGTGTGTAAGTATAGTTTTCTAATTATTGATTTTCCCTTTGCAGAATAACAAGCGAGGAAGGAACCTTTAGCGGGATTGACTGAGTAGCACCAAGCACTTTCTTAGTCAAGGTATCTCTTCGTTGTCCGGTTTGCATGGATTTCAGATTTCTTAATACTTTAGATATTCATTATACAATATACTAATTATTTGTCAATATGATAAAGTTGCTATACGAGTAACTTTGGTTGTGTAGAGTGTATCCTTATTACTGCAGCTTGATTCCTTTTAAGTTCATATTGCTTGTGAAGAAAAGTTTTTGTGCACCTTTGTCTTCAGGTATTATTACTGCAGCTTGATTGTATTAAGTTCATGTTATCCCCCCCAGTAATTTCCATGGTAAATATTTAGAATTCATTAAATTTCAGGTTTTATTTTAAATAATTTTGGAAGTTAGACAATTTTTCGAGAACTCCCGTTTCATCGTTTGAAGCAATGGTTGGAATTTGGAATTTGGAAATAGAATTGCAACATTATATTTAGCCATTTAATCAATTTTTTTGGGGGTTGCCTGGATTAAGTGATTGCTGTTGGGCGAGCCTAGGTGATTTTTTAAATGAATTCACGAATCAAATGCAGAAATTCGTTCGTGATTTTTTTTTCTTCAGCTCAGGTGAGTATTACGCCCTCGCATTTTTTTTTTTTGTGTACTGAAAGTGGTAGAATTTGAATTTCTTGTATGAAGGTGTGCGCAAAATCAAACTCATCAATTTTTATTTATTAATTTATTTTTTTCAGATTTTAGATTACGTTTGTCGGATTTTGTAGACGATGTGATGTATTGTATATGCTCTGGAAATTGGTAGTTTCCAATTTTTCATGTTTTGCAGTCTTCAATTTTGACCCGATGAGTTTCATACGTGGGTCGTCTAATTTAGGTTGCGACTTTTATTCTCTCCAATTGAGAATTATCATTCTGTTTCGATGCTAGAAGATTCAGCTTTGATTATGGAATGGTTGTTGAATAAAAAAATGGGATTTAATTTATTATTATTATTTTTATAATTTAAATTTTGTGATACAGGTGGATTGATCAGGGAAAAATGATGGTCAGTTACAGTGGAAAAGAGGCTATCTCAAGGCACTTGAGATACTTGTTAAAAGTACAAAGGAGGTTGTGAGGAGGAATTCGCTCCACTGAAGGAAGGACAGTGTATTTTTATATTTTTTAATGCAAGTTTCAATTTAATTTGTATGTGAAATGGTACGATATATTGCAATACAATTGTATTTCCGAAATCGTGTTTAGTTTTTTGAAATTGTATTATTAGTTTCTTTAATTTAAATGGTAATAATATGAATAATATAAATATTATATAACAAATTATATATTTATAATAAAATTTTGAAAAATAACTTTTTGTGACGAAATAATTGTCTCAATTGATATCGTGTCTTCTGTGACAAAATAATTTGTCACAAGAAGTAAGTGAAAAGATTACTTCTTGTGACGATAACCGTTTTAGCGACGAACATATTCAGTTTATGTGACGAAAACTTCGTCACAACAATAAGACTTTATGTGACGAATTTTGCTTTTGTCACAATATTTGGTGACGAAACTTTCAGTTTGTCACATAACACCTTTCGCGACGGGGCCTACGCGACGACCCCTGTGACGAAATATATCGTCACCTAATTTTTTTTGCGACAATATATTGAATTTTTGCGACGAGTTTTTGCGTCACATAAAACAGTTTTTTTTGTAGTGATGCTTCGCCTCATCCGCAATACACGTCCGTAGATCATGCACGTTAGTCACCTTCAAATCGTAATCACTCGGTAACTTTTCAACATCGTTGTCAAGCCCAACTCCAACAAACGTGTACTTAGGGTTTTCGAGAAAGTTTATTAACTCAAGAGGGATTTTTTCGGCGTGGAGAATGTGGAAAACGAGGCAGAATTTTCCCACACACAATTGAAGTACGTACACCGTGTGAACGTGGCCGTTGACAACTACCATACGCCACTCGGTGTCGAGGCACACAGTTAGACGGAGGAGGCGGGGGCGGTTTAGGATCTCTGTGTTGTTGACCTACATTTTGACCATGGTTGGATCGTCGTGAAATAGGATTTCAATAATCTCGTTGTTGTAGATAATGCCGTCGTATAGTGTGTGGGTATCCAATGGGAAATTGGATTCTTGCATCTTTACGTTCATTGTCATAATTTATTTGACGTAGACACAAGTTTTTATGAACCAAAAATGGCTTAATAAGTATGCAATACATTATGGTGCCGAAGATAGCTTTACATAACAAAATTTTAGTTGAGGATAATTAGAAAGAGAATGAATTCTAATTGGGTTAGGAAATATATATTCTAAGAATAATGGGGCCAAATTTTATATTTATTTTTATTTTTAACCCATTTTTACAATTAAATTATTAGTAAAATATATATGTCCGTATAAAAAAATAATAAAAACTATTGAGTTACTTGATATCTAATGTTGGGTGTTAAGGTAATCCTAACTATGTTAAATATATATTGCTTTAATGTTCATTATATTTGAAAACTCACAAAAGCATCAACACAAGCAAATTATTTATAATAATGATATTATATTATATTTTGAAGTTATTTCTTGCAGAAAATATAAATAATTTTATGTAGAAAGTGGCATGATTAATCTCCACTAATAAACAACAGCAAAAAGTAACACTAAATAGGTGTCGTTTTTCGCATTGGCATAAGTTTTAAAAATCTCAATTAGTATGTCTTGATTTTTAGAAAATAGATATTGATAGACCAAAATAACCTCGTTTACTAATTAATACAAATAACCGAAAATATGTAATTAATGCAACATTGGAATTGTCAATTGACAGATAATATGGAACAAAAGAAATTCTCAAACGAGACTGATATTGTGGAACAAAGGGAGTAATAAGTTACTCTTCTATTGCACAATAACTATAAGTTTTGAAAATATTTTTGTTCCATATTAAATCTAAACAATGCCCCTTAAAACTCATCAGTCAACACATATTCTTGAAATTTATAATACCAAAAACTCAATAGCCTCCCAATCTTGAACGAGAAATAAGCATCAAGAGAAGCATACGAAACCTGACCACGTGTAAACCCACGATTATCCCACCTACTCATCCTAATTCTCTTCGATTTCTCCATGTCTTTCCAAACAACTCGTTTTACCAATCCTTCGGATCGAACATAACCAAGCTGCTTCGCCTCATCCGTAACACACGTTTGTAGATAATACACGTTCATCGCTTTCAAATCGTAATCACTCGACAACTTTTCAACATCGTTGTAAAGTCTAACTCCAACAAACATGTACTTAGCGTTTTCGAGAAATTTTATTAATTCAAGAGGGATTTTTTTGGCGTGGAGAATTTGAAAAACGAGGCAGGATTTGCCCACAGACAATTGAAGTACGGACACTGTGTGAACACGGCATTTGAAAACTACCGGGCGCCACTCGTTGTCGAGGCCCACAATTAGGCGGGGGAGGGGGGAGGTTTAGGATCTCGGTGTTGTTGACCCACATTTTGACCATGGTTGGATTGTTGTAACTAGGGTTTCGATAATTTAGTTGTTGTAGATAATGACGTCATATAGTTTGTGGTTATTGAATGAGAAATTGAATTCGTGGATCTTTACGTTTATTGTTATAATTGATTTGACGCAGAAACAAGTTTCTATGAAACAAAAAAGGGTTAATATGTATGCATATATTTTGTGGTGGTGAAGATAGCTTTATATAACAAAATTTTAGTTGAGGGTAGTTAGAGTTCTAGAAGGAACGTACGTGTCTTATTTTGGGTAGAAGATGAATGAGTTCTAATTAGGTTTGGAAATTTATATTCTAAGAAATTATGGGGCCAATTTTTATTTTTTACTTAACCCATTTTTACAATTAAATTATTAATTTTTTTTTTTTGAGGAAAAATTAAATTATTATTAAAATATATATGTCCATTGGATGTCTTTTCCAAATATGGTCCATGTAATTGCTTGACAATAAAATATTGTACTTGTCTAATTATCCAAATATTAGTGTCTCAAGTTCCTTCCTCTATCGAGCGATTCGATGCTTTTTAGAAAGAGACAAGAGCACAGAATGACATTCGTCGACAATTGTCACTTCGTGCATGTCTTCTTGAACAACAATTGTCCAATACCCCCAATCGCTGAGTTTTGGTACCGATGCCATGATCTTAAGGCCGACGGTTGGAAGTCTGCAAACATGGATCGTTGGATTACAACATTCCGAGAATTAATAGTTCAAAATGTTGCCATGCAAGAGAGTTTCAAGATTATTACTATATCGGACAATATAATGCTGATAGTTCTCCGAACAAACCTATCTAAAATTATATGTTTAAATTTCACTATTATTATGTCTTGTGTTTAGTTAATTTTCTTGATGTGCCGAAATTTAACCTTTTCAATTTTTTTTGATAATTTGCAATTTTAATTTTTTTAATGAAATGAACTCAAAATTATTTCAATATAACATAAAAAAAAACATTTTAAGTGTTTTTAGACTAAAAAAAATTAAAATTGCTATTTATCATAAAAATTAAAAAAAAAAAGGAAACAGTTCAAGATCGACAGATAGCTGTCAAAATTAGTTCAAATTTCGACAGTTATCTGTCGAAATTTAAGTGTTTCGTTTATTTAATTGTTTTTAATAATTTGCAATTTTAAGTTTTTGACTGAAAGGAACTCAAAATTTATTTCAATATAACATAAAAACATATTTTAAATGTTTTTGGACTGAAAAAATAAAATTGCTAATTATCAAAAAAAAAAAAAATAGTTCAAAATCGATAAATAGCTGCCGAAATTAACTGTTTTGTTTTTTTTATTTTTTTTGATTATTTGCAATTTTTTTATTTTTTTTTTATGAAAGGAACTCAAAATTTATTTCAGTATAACATAAAAAATATATTTTAAGTGTTTTTGGACTAAAGAAATTAAAATTGGTAATTATCAAAAAAATTAATAAAACGAAACAGTTCCAAAGCGACAAATAGCTATCGAATTTGTTCACATAGCTTATATATATCTATATATTACTACACGTGACTATATATGACTATATGTATATGACAACATGTGACTATATATGATTACATGTATATGACCACATGCGACTATAAGAGTATAGTCATATATAGTGTAGTTTGTATTTTCTAGCTTAAAATTCCACTTTTCAACCCGAGAGCAACTCCGATCTATCGGTTAGAACTATTTTGAATTAACAAACACCATGTCGTCTCGACAAAAAACATAGTGCATAGAAGTTGTTCAAACACAAGGACGTGTGATAAAAAATCAAGTTCAGTTTATATATTTACATTATAAATCAACTCGTAACCAATAAATACAAATCAAAATACACAATCACATGTATATGTTACTACTACATGTTACTATATATTACTACAGTGGATAAATGTTTATGGGGCTGATAAATGTTTTGAGCTTTTCTCCCTCTGTCATAATTCCTTGGCTGCCTAGCCATTATTCCTTGGCTACCTGTACTTTCTCTCATTTCATTTTCAATTTAATAAATCAAAAGATGATAGAGAAAAAAAGAAAATAAAAATGATTTACCATACATTCATGAAAATCAAACAACATGGAGAATATATGCATAAACATAAAGAAAAATAATTTTTTCTTTCCCCAACTTTAGATCCGCAAACTCAAACCCTAGATCCGCAATTGTTGCTCCAATCAAAAAACGATATTATCAGCCGTATCATATAAGTAATATCCATGTTTAACTTGTGAGTTATAGATTCTAACAAGTATATACAGAAATCAAAAATTGATAGCAAATGAAGATAATAAAGAAATAGAGAATAAGCTGTAAACCATATACTAAACTAAAATAGAATAAAATGTTGCATACAGAATACACAGAGATACAAGATAAACCAGAGCCATAATACCTCCCAATATTTAATATGTGTAGAAGTTGCACTGTCTAAATCGAGGTGCATCTTTATGTTGTTGTGCAGCTCTTCCATTTCCCACTACACACTTTATTCTCAGACTCAAACCCTAGATTCGCAATTTCAGCTCCAATGAAAAAACGAACACATACATCTATAATCTATCTATACAAGAAAAATATACTTGAAGGGCACCGAGGCTATATCACAAAAAAATTAAGGAATAACAGTCATGAAACCTTGCAGCAAGATCCGATCAGACCGGCTATGGAGATTCAAGTCGGCGATTTGGCGATCCAGCACGACAAAGAGGTGCGGCAACGGAGATTGCACAGGCAATGGGGAAGCGGCGGTGAGAGGCTAGAGAGAGAGAGAAGAGAACGTGAGTTGAGAGAGAGAGAGAGAGAGATAGAGAAGAGAAAGCGGCGGTGCTGAAAGGGCAAAATATGTACTTCAAGTTGTCCAGGTGGTCTGTCAAATTAAGATTAGAATTTGAGTTTTAGACAAGGACAAAAAAAAATTGGACCTCCTCATATATTTTCATAACTAGGGGTATCCCTCATTCTCCCATCTTTCTAAGTCATTAACTTTATAAATTAATTCGCAAGTTATTCTACTCTACACCCAACGAAAAACGAACAAAAAACAAGAATCAAATCGCAAACAAGAAACACATTAGGTGTAAAATCTTCATTGGTAGTTATTCTCACATAAAATAGCCTCCCTCGTAGTAAGCGAGTTCCTTCAAGAATTCAATTCAATAATCAGGTCATGATCGAATCACTTTTTTGATGAATTTAATAATAAATTTAGCGGATAGTATGTGATATTCAACCAAAATTCACTTAATTGGTTATAACTATGAGTTAACATGCCTGTACAAAATACCAAAATAAATTCAAACCTCTTACGAAATCAGCGCACGTACAAACTTATAGTTACTTGCAACATTAAAATCGAGTCAAAATCCAGATTATGATTAACTTTCATGTGTAATCACCATGGACTTTACTGCAGATCTTTTATCAAGGTAATTTATTGTAAAATAATTTAATTTCATTAAACATTTCTGTTGAAATTGTTTTTGTAATGTGTTACTTATTTTGTATGACAATTGTCCAAAATATGCGGGTCTCTCGCAATATATTGGATTCGGTTTCATACGGTTAAGGAAGTTGTTACCAAATAAAATTTTAATAATTAATTTACGTTCAATAAAGAATTTGAATTAATTAGGCATTATGATTGTACACGTTGGGACCAAGGGTGTACTCGTTTTTTGTATACGGAATTTCATTCGTCGATACTTTCTTTTTTCACTTATTTTGGCTTAGTTAATTACTTACATCAGACGGGATCATTTTTGTATAATTTTTTATTACATTATATTGGATATCAACTTTTGATAGATGGAAAATTTTAAAGTCCGTAGCATGAAGAAATTGCTTCTAATTTTTTGTATATATTAATTTGATTGTTGTGTAAATCATTGTTTAATTAATTTCTTGATAACCGTGCAGAAAAAGAACGTTAACAATTTGGGCAGGCGGTAGATTGATGAGAAAATGATGTTTTTTCTTTTTTATTTTATTTTTGAATCTCCAAGATATGTAAATAAGAGTGAAGACTAGAACAAGTGCGAGAACGAAAACCGCACACACAATTATTGCAACCCAAAAAGTGATGGTGGCTTGGAGAGGCTCTGCTTGATCGATGCAAGGCCTAATAAAATATCAACTCTCATTTTGATTGTTAATTCGTTACAGAAGGATCAAAAGGTCTATTGTATTACATCTATTGAAACCATGCTGCAAACACTTGATTACAGTTTGATGTCCACATGGTATTAATTTATGCTTATTATTTATACAGTCAATTTATTTATTTCGATACTTGTACGATTGTTTGTTGTTTCTGTTTGTGTTCCAAGTATCAATTTTGTTTGTTGATTCTTTAAGAAACCTGTATTTTGTCCAGATTTCTCGGTTAAATCTCTGAATTTCTTTATTGCTAAAGTTGTATGAATTGTTGTTACTTTTTGTGCTCCATTTTTTAAACAAAATGTTTCTTTTGGCATGAAGTTGTATTTCGCCTGAATTTTTTGCTAAAATATCTGAACTTCTTTATTTCAATAGTTGTTAGCACGGTTTTTTTTATATCATAGTTGTGCGAATGCTAAATTATTTATATTTATGCTCCATTTCTAAAGCCGAAATTATTTAGCACGGATCTTTGCCATAAGTTGTCCTTTCAAGGTTTTATTCTGTCTCATTGCTTTGAGTTGTTTTTAATGCAATAGTTTGCTTCTCCTTTATGATAATTTATGATATCTTGTACACTTATATGAGTATCATATGTGAAATTCAACATATTTATGGCATCCTGTACTCCAAACGCAACAATAATGCTCACGACCAACCTTAAACTACACATCTAAAACATAATTTATACATCTCCCACACTAATTGAGCTTTAAAGTGTCAAGGAAATCGGTACAACTTAATTCATCACCAACTAAAGTCCGATGTGTGAAACATGTAAGTACAGTGAATACACATGTGAAGTACATGTCTAGAATTGACACGGTATCTTCAAATAAACTAGAAAGTAGTTGTTGTTCATTAGTATGGTACTCTTATATTATTTATATTAATTTGTGGCCAAGTCAACCATATAAACTCAATTCATAACAAAATATAGTACCATGTGTTCAACATGTAAGTGTAATTCATCAAAATATATGGTACAATGTTTCAATATAAAGTTACATAAGTTTTTGAGGAAATACCATAACATATATCAAAATAGGTAATTATACTCCTAAGTAACATTACATATTATGCATCAATAGTAAGTTCCTCCAATAGGCGGGAGAGAACGATAATAAACACCTAAAACGGTGTCGAATATCCTTAATAGCAAATTGTACAAATAAAACCACATTAATAAATTAAGAGCACTCAAAATCCACCATGCCTCCATATGAACTCTTCTCCCGATCCACGAACTCAACTTCAACCACGATCCTCGGGCTCGAAATCGGGTAATCCTACAAGCAATTCAACACCTATATGAGTCTTTGAGACTCAATGAGAATTCCATAGAATATCAAATACACTTAGACAAGGAATCATATAATCATACATATACATACATATACAAGTATACATATACCTTAATCACCATTTCTTTAAGAAAATTTACCGATTTACCTTTACCTTCTCGGTTTACCTCTTAGACCTTTTCGATTTACCTCTTAGACCTTGCTTTCATCATTTCATAAGGAATAAGAGGAAAGAAGAGGAATAATGCTTAATTCGAAGCTATAGCCAAAAGGAAAGTAAGAATGCTTAGCACAAGCAAATTCCATAAGGGGAGGAATAATGCTTAGCTCGAAGCTAATACCAAAAGGAAAGTAAGAATGCTTATCTAAAAGCTTATGTCAAACGGAAAGTAAGAATGCTTAGCACAAGCTAATTCCATAAGACGATGAATAATGCTTGGAGATGAACTATGCTTAGCTCGAAGCTAATGCCAAGAAGAAAGTAAGAATCTTAGCTCGAAGCTAATGCCAAAAGGAAAGTAAGAATCCTTAACACAAGAAAATTCCATAAGGTGAGGAATAATGCTTAGCTCGAAGCTAATGCCAAAAGGAAAGTAAGAATGCTTAGCACAAGCTATTTCAATAAGGAGAGTTACTACAAAGCATAAAATACGAACAAATAAGCATACATGCATCTCAACCATACAACCTAAAATTATAAAACAAAATGCAATTAACTAAACACTCTCTCAATCTGCACTAATATTACTTGCAAAACATGACAGAACACAAAATACTAAGAACAAAATTGCATAGTACTAATTTCCCCAGTTTCAAATACCAACATTCATACAACAATAAACTAGATTACTACAAAGCATAAAATACGAACAAATAATCATACATGCATCTCAACCATACAACATTAAATTATAAAACAAAATGAAATTAACTAAACACTCTCTCAATCTTCACTAATACTACTTGCAAAACATGACAGAACACAAAATACTAAGAACAAAATTCCATAGTACTAATTTCCCCAGTTTCAAATACCAACATTCATACAACAATAAACTAGATTACTACAAAGCATAAAATACGAACAAAGAACCATACATGCATCTCAACCATACAACCTAAATTATAAATCAAAATGCAATTAACTAAACATTCTCTTAATCTGCATTAATATTACTTGCAAAACATGACAAAACACAAAATACTAAGAACGAAATTGCACAGTACTAATTTCCCCCAAGTTATAATACCAAAATTCATAGAACAATAAACTAGATTACTACAAAGCATAACACACGAACAAATAACCACTGAAAATCATAATTTTCAAAAAAATAGAGCTATTGCAAACTCAAATAGGAAAACAATTAGACTTAAATCTTATGGTTCAAATTGGATTTTTATTTTTTAGAAATCCAACCTTTAAACTAAAACATAAACAACGAAACTAACCTGAGAAATCTGATATATTTGCTTGGGAGTCGAAAGGTTGCACATTGAATTCTTGATTTTTTTTCGTTTTGCGGAGTGTAATTTGGGTTTTTTATTTATCTTGCATGCATACACGTGAGGGGATTGAAAATAATCTGGATAATTTGAGAGACGAAGAAGAAAGGGTAATTTGAAAATAATCTGATATCTCTGAGTAACTGGGTAACTGGGATTGAACTGGAGAGACGAAGAAGAAATGGTCGGGGATTTGAGCGCGAATTACAATCTTCTACAGTGAGTTTAAGTGTATGGGGTGTTTATTGTACTTTAATTGAAGTGGAGATATAAATGAAAGTTAAAATTAAGTGTATAGGGATTTTAAAACAAAAAACCCACAAAAATATGATTTAAGACAAATAAATAATATTTATAATATGATATGTTGAGCTCATTAGTATATGTTCAGCTCATTAGTATGTTTTAGCCGCATGTAACCTCGAGCAGGGTCGGCTTTAGTGCATAGACAACTTAGGCCTATGCCTAGGGCCCCCAAACTATCTGTAATATTCATAGGGCCCTGTAAATTATGTGTATTTTAAGTTAGGGCCCCCAAATTTGAATTTTTTTTTTATATTTTCATAAAACTAAACAAAAATATTTATATTAAAACCAAATAGTAGAAAATATAACACAAGCTCTAATAATATTAATATTTCCACTTCAAATAATAAGAAAATACCAAAAAAATATTTAATTTCAAATTAAAAAATTATATAAGGGTCCCAAAAAAATTATTTGCCTAGGGCCCCATATGGGCTTGAGCCGGCCTTGTCGGCCAGATATGTTTTTTAATTATTTCGAATTTTTCTGTGTAACTTATATAATCATTTGTGTCTTATAAATAAAACTTGATGATATAAATCATAATTTGGGTGCCATACTTTGTCAAAATAATAGACGCATCTGATATACACGGGGTACATTATATCCGTTTTGCCATATGTGAACCATATTAGTTTACCTTCATTGAAGCCATATTGAGAATTGAAAGAAAGTACTGAAATATTATAGTGAGATGAATTTATCTTTTTTTCACTCACACGTTGAATTGACAAGAATTAAAGGAGGCACCAATATTCACTCACACTTAATTTTATATTTTTTTTGTTTGAATTAATTTAGATTTTGTGAGTATTTAAATTAGGTAAAATTATAGTAAGATGAATTTATTTTTTTTTCCTTTTTAGATTCTTTATTCTTTTGTATTTAAGTTGGGAAAAAACCATTATTAATTCATAATAAATATTTATATGTTAGTAATATATTAAATATTTAATTCGGACTTATACCTTCTTTGCAGTGACGACTCTTCATCTTCTTGTACTCTCTCTCTCTCTCTCTCTCTCTCTCTCTCTCTCTCTCTCTCTCTCTCTCTTCTCTCTCACTCTACCGCATAAGACGATTGTTTCTTCTTTGTAGCTTCTGTAAGAAGAAAAAAAAAAACTGACCAAGATTCGGGTTGAGCCATAGTAAACTCAAGCTCGACTAACAACCTTAATGAGCCTAATAGGACGGCTCGAACTCAATTCGGCTTACAATTTATTAGCTCAAACTAGGGGTGGAAATGTAATTTATTACCTTAATGATATGTATTGACATTAGTTTCATAATTTCAAAAAACTAAAAAAAAATAGCAATACACTCTTTTAGTACATGATTCATACTTTCATAAACTAGGGGTGTAAATGTAATTATTCGAAAATGTGAGGGCTGATTTTATAATTACAGGAAAATGAGAGGAAAGAATGGGTGGTGCAAGCAATATTTTAAATATTGGCAGGTGTAAAATATAATAGTAAAAAGGGTTTGCAAGGGGTGGTAATGTAATTATCTGAAAATGTTAGGGCTGATTTGCTAATTAAAGGAAAATGGAAGGAAAGAATGGGTGCATCAAACAATATTTTAAAAATTGATGGGTGTATAATATAATAATAAAAAAGGGCTTATCAGGGGTGGAAATGTAATTATCCGAAAATGCTAGGGCTGATTTTATAATTAAAGGAAAATAGGAAGAAATGAATGGGTGCAGCAAGCAATATTTTAAAAATTAGTGGGATAATATAATAATAAAAAGGACTTATCAGGGGTGGAAATGTAATTATCTGAAAATATAGGGCCTGATTTTATAATTACAGGTCTCCTGCTATAAAATCTAGCAAAATCTGAGTGTAGTCGCGTCAATTTAATCTCACAATCTCACAATTAAGAACTTCTCTTCGGATGTCTCTCTCTCTCTCTCTCTCTCTCTCTCTCTCTCTCTCTCTCTCTCTCTCTCTCTCTCTCTCTCTCTCTCTCTCTCTCTCTCTCTCTCTCTCTCTCTCTCTTATTTTCTCTTCCTCCATTGACAGGTTAGGTTTCGGATGGACTTCATTTTATGTTCATTTTCTCTTCTTCCATTGACAGGTTAGGTTTCGGATGGACTTCATTTTATGTTCATTGTTATTCATTTTATGGACTCGTGCCAATTTTTTGCTCAAGTCGACACTAGTTGGTGCACATGGCACTCCAGTTGAGCATTTGCTAATTTATGTTGGAGGCTTATTTTTTTAATTATTATTACGATAGTAGTAATAGTAGTGGTAGACCAGGATCAAGACGAGGGTCTACCTATTACAAATCCTCAACAGGAGTTTGAGATTTGATTTTATTTTTTTTGTTGTTGGGGAAAAAAAATCATGCTATGCATGTTCCCAATATAAGACTTGGTACACATGCAGGTGACTGATAGTACTTTGTTGTAACTACTTTTTGTAAAGCCTTTATTCTAAGTTGTCTCCTTTTTGTAAAGCCTTTATTCTAAGTTGTCTCCCTTATTAGGTCTCTCCTATTGTTGGTATTTTCCATATTTACATGTAGTACGTATGTATCAAACATTTGGTACAAATGCAGGTGACTCATAGTACATTGTTAGGGCAGATGTGGTACTTTAGAAACTTTGAAACATATTATGTCAAAATCATTGACCACCGCTATACATTATTTGAATTAGATATTTAAAGTTGTACGTTGAATTCCACTGTTATATAGCTACAACTTGTACACCATCGAGCATTTATGTTTTAAGAAAAGTTTGCACTATGTATTCAAAACATATTATTACAAAATCATATACCAAGTGATGTTGAATGCGTACTAAAATATTTAATAGATTTGATATGAATTGACATTAGTTTCATAATTTAAAAAAAAAATATAGCAATACACTCTTTTGGTACACGATTCATACTTTCATAAACTAAAAAATAATAACTACCTTAGTACATGTCTCCCACACTATTAGTGTTGTACAACTTTAGATATAGTACGTATGCGTTGATAACTTAGTACCCACGCAGGTGACTGGTAGCACTTTGTTGCGTCTGGTCTTTTGGAAAAATAATTGTCTGTTGAATTCCACGTGTATGACCTACACTAATGACTATGTGATATATAGCTACAACAACATGAAATTTGATAATACCAATATTTATTTAGTTTGTTCGTGTTTAGTACGAACTGCATATACACTTAGTAGTTTGGATTTTTTTTTTATTTTTTTATTTTATTTACTTTTTGCAAAAATGAATGTAAAAATTAATGGTAAGTACGATCGGCATATACACTTAGTAGTTTGGATTTTTTTTATTTTTTATTTTTTGCAAAAATGAATGTAAAAATTAATGGCATCACTCATTATTGAGCAAATTATACGTCATATTTGAAGTACTTATTCTAAGTTGTCTCCCTTATTACGTCTCTCCTATTGTTGGTATTGTTCATATTTTTATATAGTACGTACGCATCAAACACTTAGTAAACCTGAAGGTGACTGATAGTACTTTGTTATGGCAGATGTGGTACTTTGGAAACTTTGAAAAAAATTATGTAAAAATCATTGACCACCGCTATACATTATTTGAATTCGATATTTAAAGTTTTACGTTGAATTCCACTATTATATAGCTACAACTTGTACACAATCGAGCATTGATGTTTTAAGAAAAGTTTGCACTATGTATTCAAAACATATTATTACAAAATCATATACCAAGTAATGTTGAAAGCGTACTAAAATATTTAATAGATTTGATATGAATTGACATTAGTTTCATAATTTCAAAAAACTAAAAAAAAAAATATAGCAATACACCCTTTTAGTACACGATTCATACTTTCATAAACTAAAAATAACTATACTCTACCTTAGTACATGTCTCCCACACAAGTAGTACTGTCCATCTTTATATATAGTACGTATACGTTCATAACTTAGTACACACGCAGGTGACTGGTAGCACTTTGTTGCGTCTGGTCTTTCGGAAAAATATATTCATAGTTGTCTGTTGAATTCCACTTGTATAACCTACACTAATGACTATGTGATATATAGCTACAACATGTACCACATCAGCCATTTATATTGTAAGAGATGTTTGCACTATATAAACAAAACATATGACAAAGTCATATAGCAAGTAATTCCAAATACTCTCACTTAGTACATGTAATTGGTAGTATTTTGTTATGTCGGATCTAGCACTTCGAACATGTTTAAAAATTAATGATATCAATCATAATTGAACACCGCGATACGCTAGTTGAATTAGTTATTTAAAGTTGTGCTTTGTATTCCACTTCTATGACTATATATATAGTTATAACTTGTACATCGAAATCACAAACGACTATTTATGTTTTCAGACAAGTTGTTAAACTATGTTATCAAACCATATTACAAATTCGTAGACAAAGTAATCCAAAATATGTCATTCAAAGAGATGAAATGCATATTGACATTACTCTCTTAATTTTAAAACCCACAAAAATAAAAATAGATTCTCCTTAGTAAATGTCTCCCATATTGTCTGTATTGTTCATCATTATATATAGTACTTATGCATCACAAAATCAATATAAAAGCATGGGACAACTAGTACTGTCTTGTGTCGAATTCAGCACTTGGCGATTTGTTATAAAGTTAATGTCAAAATTAGTATCATTGACCCCCGTTATATATTATTTCAATTAATGTCAATACTGGATTTTTGTGACTCATAGTACTTTGTTGTAACTACTTTTTGTAAAGCATTTATTCTAAGTTGTCTCCTTTTTGTAAAGCCTTTATTCTAAGTTGTCTCCCTTATTAGGTCTCTCCTATTGTTGGTATTTTTCATATTTACATATAGTACGTATGTATCAAACATTTTGTACAAATGCAGTGACTCATAGTACCTTGTTGAGGCAGATGTGGTACTTTGGAAACTTTGAAACAAATTATGTCAAAATCATTGACCACCGCTATACATTATCTGAATTAGATATTTAAAGTTGTACGTTGAATTCCACTATTATATAGCTACAACTTGTACACCATCGAGCATTTATGTTTTAAGAAAAGTTTGCACTATGTATTCAAAACATATTATTAGAAAATCATATACCAAGTAATGTTGATTGCGTACTAATATATTTAAATAGATTTGATATGTATTGACATTAGTTTCATAATTTCAAAAAACTACAAAAAAAATATATAGCAATACACTCTTTTAGCACATGATTCATAATTTCATAAACTAAAAAATAACAATACTCTCCCTTAGTACATGTCTCCCATATTATCAGTGGTGTCCAGCTTTATATATAGTACGTATGCGTTCATAACCTAGTATACACGCAGATGACTAGTAGCACTTTGTTGCGTCTGGTCTTCCAGAAAAATAGTTGTCTGTTGAATTCCACTTGTATGACCTACACTAATGACTATGTGATATATAGCTACAACATGTACTACATCAGCCATTTATATTGTAAGAGACGTTTGCACTATATAAACAAAATACTTTCACTTAGTACATGTAATTGGTAGTATTTTGTTATGTCGGATCTAGCACTTCACTTCATAGACAAACAAAGTTATGTTACTGAAACATGGTTTATGGAAGTTCATGTTGTTTAAAAACAATGGCTCCGTATTTCGATACAATCAAGACACTGACTAGTAGTCATGTTTACGTAGTTATTGCATTCAACACGTCACATTTTTTTCATAACTTTACTTCCGAATTAAAGCCATGCAATGTATTATCTCACATTCATTTTAGCAAGTCCACGCACGAGGTCCTCAAGGGCTTCCACTTTTGAACGCAATATTGAAACTTCAGAAGAGTCAGCATATAAGGAAGTAGCTTGGGCTCCTTCCTAGATCCAATGGGAAAACATATTCAAATAAAAAGCTACCGACTAATGTCTCAAATACAATAGAAACTTACAGTGTTGAGATTATTCCTTAGATCAACTACCCATATAGAATACTCACGATCCTGAAATCCCATAGAATGACATAACCAGAGATGCACATTAGGTTGAAGCAAAATGCACTAATATTACTTGAAAACCATGACAGAACACAAAATACTAAGAACAAAATTGCATAGTACTAATTTCCCCAGTTTCAAATACCAACATTCATACAACAATAAACTAGATTACTACAAAGCATAAAATACGAACAAATAACCATACATGCATCTCAACCATACAACCTAAAATTATAAAACAAAATGCAATTAACTAAACACTCTCTCAATCTGCACTTATATTACTTGCAAAACATGACAGAACACAAAATACTAAGAACAAAATTGCATAGTACTAATTTCCCCAGTTTCAAATACCAAAATTCATACAACAATAAACTAGATTACTACAAAGCATAAAATACGAACAAATAGCCATACATGCATCTCAACCATACAACCTAAAATTATAAAACAAAATGCAATTAACTAAACACTCTCTCAATCTAAAATCCCATAGAATGACATAACAAAATGACAAAATTAATTGCACTTACAACAGTTTGGCATGCAAAATAGTGGCTTCCAATATTCTTCTTGACCCTTAAAATTTTGAACTGAATACATTTTTTACACAAAGGGCAGATGTGCACGGGATTCTGGAAAACAAATGTTCATGACAGTTGGGTCCATCAAATACCTCATCGTAAAATATAATAGAGGAAGAATTAACTACCTTGTAACACCAACTATTGTCTTCACCAAATCTCATAAAAGTTGCAACCGCATCATCAGTTTTATCAAACTTGCAAAACACCGTTTGTATATGCCGGGACTTCGACCCACGGATACCACATATACTGCCATAAGCTTTTTTTTCTGGAAATACTGGCATATAAACAAAAATTCTTAAATTCACATACCAATTTTTGCGCAAAGAAGTAGTAAATATGAGTTCTTACAAAGAGACTGATTTCGGAGAGCGACAAACTGACTTGAGAAATTCCAAAGAGATTGGGTGTCTCTGCACAATTGGGCGTTGTCCCATCTCTGATGCAAAACAATACTTATAAAATCAGCCCTCACATTTTTGAATAATTACATTTCCACCCCTTGCAAGCCCTTTTTATCATTATATTATACACCCCTGACCCTTTGTAAAATATAGCTTTGTTGCACCCATTATTTCCTCCCATTTTCCTTTAATTATAAAATCAGCCCTAACATTTTCTGATAATTACATTTTCACCACTTGCAAGCCCTTTTTATTGTTATATTATACACCTGACAATATTTAAAATACTGCTTGCACCTCCCATTCTTTCCTCCCATTTTCATGTAATTATAAAATCAGCCCTCACATTTTTGGGTAATTACATTTCCACCCCTTTCAAGGTCTTTTTATTAATATTTTACACACCTGTCAATTTTTAAAATATTGCTTGTAGCACCCATTCTTTCCTCCCATTTTCCCTTAATTACAAAATCTAGAATGAGGTAAAAAAAATTGGATACGCGTTTGAAAAAAACTTTTGAAAGGAGGATTTTGTTCGAGTGCTACACTATCTAACTATCTATTTTATTTTTGGTTCGAAAAGGAATCAGATTTTTGAAAGATATTTTGGTGAACGTTTAAAGAAAAACTTTAACTAATTACTAAACGGAATTTTTATATAAATAGGTGCAAAGTACGCTCCATACCGGTTTTCAAGTTCGTTCCTCTAAAGAGGGATAAGCAAAAGATACGAAAATGGAAATATGTCCTTTTAACATTACATCACTCATAGAGGATTATTTTGGTGATGTAATGTAAAAGGA